ATGGCACGGATGGAGTGAATGGAGTCAATGGCGTTAACGGCGTGAATGGCTCTGATGGTCGTAATGGCACGGATGGAGCCCAAGGGCCACAGGGACCGGCAGGGACAGCTAATGGCACAACTGCTAGCGGATACGTGGCACACTATGGGTATATTGGCTGTTACGTTGCAAATCCTGACAACAACTTCGGTTTTGCTCCCTCCATTGCGCAGGAGGTTCTCACGACATCAGTCGACGATTGCGCCACTTACTGCGTCAGACAGCCAACCGGCCAAACGATATATTTCACTCTTGCAACGAATAGCGAGGGTGCTTCGATTTGTACTTGCGGAAATGACCTCAGTTCTTTCAATTATTTGAGTGTGGGCATGGATTTTCATTGCAATACCCCTTGTAATTTTACGACCGCAACTACTAACAACTGCGGTGGCCAATTCGGCGAGCTTCCACTGGTCTCGGTGTTTGGAGCCATCTAAGCTTTTGCAGGTTTCAAAAGCGTTGTACATGACAAAGGAACAAATACGTAAAAGTGCATAGAATGACAAAATATTACCTGGTTATCGATTCAGCACGTTAACACGTGATGTGATCTCAAGCTCTTCATCAGTACTCTTACATATGAACTATGAGAGCTCCTGAAACTTCGTCGACTAATAAGCGAATGCGTATTGGAAGGCAGTTGAAAGACGCAACTAAGATGAATCTAATTGAATATCAATACGGAAATTCTGACCGAAGATCAGGTTCGTATATATCAGTCGTGCAAACGTCTGGCAAGCTGAAGTTGAAATGTGCCAGTTCCAAGTTCGAACTAAGATAGACTAGGTGCTATTCGTCTGTACTTATTGGGAGTTCTTCTCCTGAGCATGCTTCAAATGTTCTCAAGTTGCGACTCAAGTGTTTTCCAAAAACCGCGCTGGGAAGGTTCAATCTTCCAACAATGTGATAGGCTCAGCACTTCAACAAGATGGACATTCTCTCGATAAGAGGGGTTCAAGCTCGGACTCTTGCTAATCGCATGTTCGTCGCTGGCCCAATTGTTATCGTGATGGCGCGATTTCTAACATTGATGAGATCACAGCTCCACGCGGGATCTAATTGGTAGCAACTGTGGGGCTAGTTATGGAGAACATTGTGCTCCCGTCGACCAGACCTTTTTCCAACAATTCTGCAAAAACCACGATGGAGACACGTGCCGTACAGGGGCCTAGTGTGCTTTCGTTACGGCTGACAAGTGTGTTTATGGTGGTTCGATCATGAGAGTCCAGGCGCGAGGTTTTGCATGTTGGGTAGCGCGAGGTGGTTATCAATGGCTTTATGGGGTTCACCAAGACTTTGTACAGAATGCGCCATAGTTGATGGCGGTTGCATCATTTAGAGTGAGTTTGTATGGTTGTAGGTGCCAATTCGATGGCGTGATAGTCCCAGAATATGGCATTTGCCCTTCTGGCGTACGCAACTACCCCATAGTATATGCCTCTCAGGCATTAGCCTGAGATATTTGATACGATACTCCACAATGAGATCTAGACGCTATTCCTAATGCCGAATAGAAGCTGAAAAGCACAGCGAGTTCATTCCTGCTGATTGAGGTCTCTCCCGCTCGGGGTCACTCCAGGGTGTCGCCAGGGGCTCTTCAATAAGAGAAGACTCCCGCTGCTTGATCTTGCGTGATCTACGCAGACATCACGTCCTCTGAATTCCCAGGAGATAATATTTGCCGAATTCCGTCAAAGACAAAAGTCCAATGGGTGCCGAGCAAATCAAGACCCTGGCTGATAGCCATGACAGCCACAGCGATGGCGACAACGTAGAGTATAGCTGGACAGAGAGTGAGGAAAAAGCCCTGGTCCGCAAGTGAGCCTCCTCCCCCTGTATCTTCTTGGCATAGCAACTTATAGCACAAACAGGATCGACCGGACAGTAATGCCATTGTTAATTCTCGGCTTTTTTGCTTTGCAATTAGATCGAGGCAACATGTATGTATCCCCTGATACTAAAAATCCTTGCAACCATTAATTTTCTCATCGTGCAGTGGAAATGCCCTTACGGACTACTTCCTTAAAGATGTCGGCATCACACAGAACCAGTTCAACGTCGGACAGCAATTATTATCGGCCGGAATTGTTATACTCGAAGTATGTTCAGACTTTTGCATGGAAGCAAAACCCATGCTAATCGATAACAAAGATCCCTAGCAACCTCGTACTCTACAAAGTTGGACCCTCAAAGTGGATTGGATCACAAATCGTGGCTTGGTATGGTCTTATGTCTCAGTACCATGTCGACGATGAGCTGACTGGGTTCCTAGGGGTCTTGTAGCGACATTCCAAGCCTTTCAGAAAGGCCTCGGGGCTTTTCTATCGACAAGGCTGTTGCTAGGGTGAGATGAATTCTTCTGCGAGGTTCTGGAGACTTCTGACCGTGTTCCTTAGCCTTTGCGAAGCTGGATTCATTCCCGCAGGTTTATATACCATTACTCGCTGGTACAAGAGAAATGAAACAAGTAAACGGTTCTCATGGTTTTTCATCGGAAACATGTTTGCCGCGGCCTGCTCTGGTCTCGTTGCATACGGAATGTGAGTTGGAGGTTGAAGTATTGCCGCATTTAGCATAATAACAAAGAAATAGTCTTCATATGCGAGGCGTCGCAGGATTGACAGGCTGGCAATGGCTCTTTTTGGTAAGCAAAACCCATGGCCCGAAAGTGCTGATCTAATTGTCAATACATAGATTGAAGGGATGTTCACCGTTGTCGTAGGAGTTATTTTCCTGTCGCTTTTCCCCGACAGCGTGATGAACCCCGTATCAGTGCTCGGCATTCGTGCCTTCACAGAGAAAGAGTCGTACATTCTTACACAGCGAGTCCTGCGTGACGACCCCTCCAAGGCTCATGCAAAGCCACATGTGACGGGAACTGAGCTAAAGAATGTTGTAAGTGTCTGTAATAATGCCACCAAGCAGGATCAATCCTGACCTATTCTCGTAGTTGACAAACTGGAGACTTCTTCCACACGTCTTACTCACAATCGGCGGTCTCGCCCCAGCATCTACCATGTCGTCGTACGCTCCAACACTTGTCAACTCATTTGGGTACGAAAGACTCAAATCCAATGCCATGGTGTCAATTGGATCTTGGATTTTGCTTGTTACGAATATCACATGGGGCACGGTAGCGTATGTCAAGACAATCAATTATTTCCTTCAAAGTAGCTAATATCTTGGTATAGTGATAGGATAGGTGTGCGCGGGCCCATGGTATTTCTAGGACTCTTGATCTTCTGGGGGTTCACGGTATACAATAAAGCTTGGTCTCAACTAATAAGGTGCACAAGCTGACAGCATGTAGTTGGGAAATCGTCTACTAGTTGAATCTACCAACTCGACAAGGAGATTTGCTGTTCTGACTTGTGCGCTTGCATTTGCTCAAAATTGGCGTAAGTATTTCGCTTAATCCTACAGAGAATATTTAGTTGACCATGCTAGATCCTGTTAATGGTTCCTGGATGTCCCTTAATGCTCCAACTGCAGGCGAGAGGTCCATCACCATGGCCATTCTAATTATGTCTGCCAATACGTCCGGAATAATTGGTAGCCAACTATTTCAACAACAAGATGGGCCTCTCTATAAGACGGGGTGGACAGCAATTTTGTCGTTGGTTACCTTCTCCTTAGTCTGCTCCATCGTTGCCAACATCCAGTACTATATATCGAACAGCCGTCGGTTGGCACGAGAGGGTCTGAGGTATAAATACTAGACGACACAGACAATCCGGGAAATGATCACATCAAAAAAATTAAGGTCCCGACAAGTCACAGAGATACTTGGGGATTGCGGATCAGTAGACACTGAAGGCACGGTGTAGGAGGATAGATGGTATTAAAAAAATCTTTGAATACTACTAAAAGAAATTTGTTGTACTATCAATGTGTCAAAGGACTAGGAACCCAACCGGTCACATGCTCAGACCCTCCTACCCTGGTCTCAAAACAGTTGAGAATCGTAATGCAAACTCAAGTCAAGATCTAATTGAGCACAGCCTAGACTTCCCTAATGAGTTCGTCCTTGGGCGCCTCAACAAGGTTCTGATGGTCGTTGAGCTTGGGATTCCTAAGCGTGAACGCAAATCCAATCAATGGAACACAGAGGCAGATACCCGCAATACAAAGCAATCGCTGTGTATGTTGATATGCATCAATGATAGCTGTTCGCTCCGGTGTACCAACTGAATACGTCGCAGCACTCGTGAAGGGATCAGCATAGGTCGACGCTGCAAGTGTTGAATTGATTGCAGAAAGACGATCCTCAAGAGCGAATGGTAGTACTTGGGTCCAGATTGCACCAGAAACAGTGTTACCGAAGGCAGACCCAATATTGTATGTTGCTAGGTAGAGGCCTGTCATAACAGCAAGATGCTCATGCTTGAGTGACGCTTGGAGAGACGCCTGTGCCGGGTACGGGAACATGCCGCCAGCTATACCGAGCAGAATCTCGGCTCCGATAACACCTGAACGACCGGCCGAACTTGGAGAGCCACGATACCGGATCAGTAGACCGAATGCAACCAAGAAAAGTATAGTACCGGCAATGATGAACATCTTGAGGCGCCTGACCTTGAACACGACAAGTCCAAGAAGAAATCCGGTAATGACACTGACAAATGAATAAAGGGACGTGATTCTTGTGGCAGAGGTGACGCTGAAGTCAAATGCGACAACAAGCATGGTGTAAAGATAGTCTCCCTGCATATACCAGGAGAAATTGAGCAGCACCGCAATGCCCATCGGACCCCAAACGGCGCGATCTTTCATCAGGTAGAACGGAACAAGGGGATGACGGGCCTTGAATTCCCACACAAAGAAGACAGGAATGCACAAAATCCCGACGACAAGTGGCGCAATGACATGGGCTGTCCGCCACTGGTTCTGAAAGCCTCCAGCAATCGTGAATGGGGTGAGTATTAGGGCGAAGACGGCAATCAAAAGAATGATGCCAATCACATCAAGTCTCCAGAACAGATCGATAATGAACGCTTTCCAGCCCAACTTTTCAAAGGACGACTTGTAATTTCCGAGCTTGCCCATCTTCTTTGCCCGCCGGCCAACAATCAGGAGGCTGACAATGAGAGGCAAAGCGCAGACCGTGTAGATGATGCACCACATACCAATGCCCCATCTCCAGGTAGTAGCTTTCAAAACGGCCTCTGCAATATCACCACTAACCCAAGTATTGATGATGAATGGCAATGCAGGAACGTAACTGAACAGCAGACGAGCGCGGGTCGATGTAATGTCGGCGATGATGAGTTCGACGAGGAGAATGACCATAGTATATCCAACTTGATAGATGACGGCACCACCGGCGAAAGTCTCAATGTCATTGGCTACAGCCTCCACAATGGTACCAATGATGTAGAAGAACACCGAGAGGCAGATCAGCTCGACGCGCCCAAACACGTCGGCAATCTTGCCGGCGGTGGGTTGTGCAGCGGCGGCAATCACGGCACGAAGGACATTGATGCTCGACAGCAATGAGTGTTCGTTGAATTCGGAAGTTGCATAAGGCTGGTAAGTGTAACGCAAAGTGCCGTCGAGTCCGTAGGCATAGGCGATGATGAAGACACCAAAGAAAATGAATACACGGTCAACGCGGGTCATCACCGAAGTGAGAGCCTCGACACGAACGACACCAGGGGATTTTTCATCCACTGTATCTGTCGATTCGCGACTCAGCTCATGTGGAGGGTTGGCCGCGGCATCATCGGGCTTGCCTGCCACGTCGGGAAGGATCGCCATTGTCGAAATACAGTTTCGCGATCAGCAACTGGGAGCGAAACCTCAAGTGAAGTAAAACGACAAGATGTGAAAGCAGCCTGCTATCAGATAAGAGTGGTCTAAGGTCCAGAGATCGATGTGACGCTGGCTTGCAGCTATTTAAATCCTCGCAGCAATGCAGACAAGTGGAAACAGCAACGTGATGATCAGCAAGATCAGATAAGATCATCAGAAAATTTTTATCAGATAACCCTGGTCGATCAGATAATAAGGTTCAAACGCACTATTAGTCTAGCAGAGTACCACTTGTTTGGCTATGGTTGAAAGGCCACCCTGGATCTTCCCCACTTACATCGATCCTTGGGTAGGTCGACCTCGGCCAGGGATTCGACACTGTGCCAAGATTTGGGATGAGTCGGGGTTCCGTACCATCAGATCAGAAAACCCAAACAAGGCAAGGAGGCAAAGAGCCCCCAATCTCTGCGGCGTCAACATAACGCGTCTACGTTTGGCCATATTGGGCAATGAAGGGGTTCTAGAGCGCTTCTCGCCCTGCCGGAAAGCCACATCGAACATCATGACCAGAACATCAAGCGCTTTTGGTGTTCATCGCTGTCGGCAAATTATCTTAGTACAACGCCTCGAGAACGCCTCGGCGGTTCCGTTCACTTCGCTTACTTTGTGCCAAGCCCACCATGTGGGATTGTCTGATGGTGTGGGGTCCTCCCAGACCAGAATGCTTGCGCTAAATGGAGGCCGGAATGCTCTCTATCTCAGCTATGACAAACCCTTTCAAGGCCAAGGCTTTAAAAAAAAATGAAAAAAAGACTCAATTCCGTTCTTGGTAGTCTCGGCCGTTGCCAACTCAATCAGCAGCTGTTGGCCATTCGTTCACGGACATCCCCGATCCTTGATGCCTTACGTATGAGAAGAGCGACAGCGGAGTAATGAATCGCTCAGCGTAGACAGTCATTTCCTGGCTCATGCTATGTCAATGCAAAGTCCAAGGCCATTCTTCCTAGGCATAAACAAGTTTAGGAGCTTGGTCATGGGCAAGTGGCTAGTGTGCCGCTCGGGTGTTTCTCTCTCCTCCCATTTTCATGCAGGCGCGCACTTTCATGGTTCATGCCTCGTACATCGGATCCCGTCAGGACATTGGAGTCGCATCTTCTTGAAATAACACCTTGAATAGGAGACGGTTGATAACTCTCTTCTATTTCCGACAATATACGGCTATCATATCCGCAATCCCGCCGAACGTCGGCATTAGTCTAGCTTCATACTCTTAGCTCGCCATTTGGTCTTTGAGCAGCTCGAGTCCTCTCAACAATCCGACTACTTTCTGGAAATCCCCAACTGCTCTTGACTAACAGTCTCTTCGGGATGGTAGGCATGCCAGTCAGGATACTGTTCGCTAAATCGATACTGTCGAGCTAGGCTGATCAAGATTTGCTTCCACGGCAACGCCGACGATGATTGCAACTAGCCCGGCAACTGGGACTATGCCGTCAGGTTTAGAGGGCTGCAGTCTTGATGCAGACAGTTTGCCCATGTTGTCTAGGTACCATCCCAGCCCCACATAGGTTGTCTTCAAAGCTAGTTGCGGTAGAGTGTTCTTGATGTGTGTAACAGCCTGGGCTTTATAATACCAATGCGGAACAGGAAATTTGCCTCCTGATATACTGTTACAGTGGGGCATAACACTTAGCACTAGGTGCTTCAATGTAGGAAGTCGAGATGCAACGGTAGCGACAGTAACGAATTGTTGAAATTCTTCTTTCCCGGTCGCTTCAATGTCCAGTCTCGGAGTGTTCTCGCAAAAAGCCGTTACGCAGAAGATGGCGACGGCGCCGTCAAATGCTGCATCGAGAGTGGCTATATCGCTTAGGTTGGCGGCCACCATCTCAATTCCTAAAGACTGGAGTTGTTTCGATTTCAAGCTGTTTATATCGCGCGTAAATCCCCGGACTTTCCAAGCAGGATTTTTTCTAGCTGCCGGGCGACAGAGCCGCCTTGGGTGCCGGTGGCGCCGGTAACAACATTAAGTGACATGGCGAGCGGGAAAGTTCACAACTTCTTGATAATTTAACACATGAACGCATATTTCTATCAATTCTGCTAAGATTTGAACTTGATATATACACAGTTCATATGCTTCAATCGTCTGCCACTTGGGACCTTCGCATACCGCGAAGAGCTAGCTGACCAAGCGAGTGAACAAGTCAGGGCACGGAGAGCCGAATGGACAGACTTCTCGTAATCAATCAAGCAATAAGCTAGCTGATAGTCTTTTGATATACCTTGTCTTGCTCCTAACCCATGCACTATCATCTTCTCGTGTGAAAGGCTACCCTAGTGGGGTGGTTGGAGGACTTTTGGACCATTTGTAAGCTCGCTCTTTCGCTCCTAAAGAAATAACGATCTCGTAAATGCGAAAGCCAGAGGTCTGAAGAGGCGTTGCCTTAATCGCTTTGTTCGCGACACCTTACCCATTTGACAGTCCATTACAGGGACGGGCCGATTTGATCCTTTCGGCCTGCCGCGACCCAGAGTGTTCCACCTCAGTATCGAGAACCAAATGCTCTGCTCTCGAGACAGCAATAATCACAAAGGTGAACGGCGAATAAGACATTTGCGGTCATCATGATCTATGTATGCTGATAGCTATTTGTCGCAATAGGCAAAGGGCTTACGGAGCCCCGGTTAGCCATACACAGGTCCAATTCTCGCTTAGAATTATCGGAAACAAATAGAACAAGTCGTGCGTCAAAACAAAACATTCTAGCTGGTGTCATCCTTGCTGTTATTGGATTGACAACCCCGGCAAGCGACCTGATTTACTACCATCATTTGTCCGAGCCCGACTCACTTTGTAATGGACTGACTCGGATAGACTAGCTCTGGAATTGGGTCAATGGCTCAGCTTAGTTCTTGCGACCTAGCTCGCTCTCGATGGTCACAGGCTCGCTGTCGTCCGTAACGCTGTCCTCTTCTGTCACAGGCGCCAATTGCTCTGCTTTTCCGCTGAAGCATACTTAGTCACTAGTGCGCCCCAGAAGGATGGGTCATACCTTTTCTTGTGAAGGATTATAGCCGTGATAAACCCAGCCCAAAGAAGGAAGAAAAACACAAAAGACACAGGCCAACCCTTCCGCCATCTCGGGGCTCCATTTGGACCTGCGGTTGGGAAGAGAAGCAGTGGGACCCAGATATAGAACGAATAGCCGAATGTCATCATAGAGCCCTACAAATAGAGATGTCAGTGAACTCTACATTCATCAAATATGGATGGTACCTAGGCCCAACCATTATAAGTGCTCGTTCTTCCGAATCATCTTTGACGATAGTATTCACTGTAGAATATAGAATTGGGCTTGCACACCCGGCAACTCCGAAGAGATACCAGGCAACGAATCTGGGAATTATCATTAGTTCATGGTCACGCCGCTATTCATAGTGGTATTACGTAGGGCTCACTTAAGCGGCTTTGGTATGTTCCATACGATCATACACAGAGTTGAAAATAGGACACACGCAGTTTCAAATGTGTAAATTGTCCAGGCAGGCCAAATTGCTGCCAGTGTAGTCCCTAGCCACGAAGCAACAATGTTGATTGCGTAAACGACTGTGGGAAGTTGGTTGATTTGAACAACCGAATACCCTTCGGCTTTGAGCCACAAACTCATATATGACGCAGGGTATGATGATATGATCATACAACTAGCAATGCACCACATCAATCAGTCCACAAAAGGCGATAAATGTACCGATTTGTTACTCACATGTAGCAAAATACGAAGACCCATATGTGCCATCTCTTGAGAGTCCTCTTAAAAACATCAAGGTTGAGCTTATCTGCTCGTCGTACCTTGGCCTTTTCTAGACGTTTCTTTGCGAGTATGATATCATTGTGTGTAAAGTAAAAAGGTTTCGGTGAGTCGGGTATTCCGGGGAATACAATGTAGCCGAGAATAGCAACAGGCAATGTGAATATACCGTCGATTATGAAGAGCCACTTCCAGCCAGGCAGCCCGTTTACACCAGAAAGGTTGGTATATGCAGCCGCCTGTAAGTACCCGCTAACCATCGAACCCAGAGCATTACAGAGAAACCATGTCCCAGCCCTTTTGAACAGCTCCGGGCCGCTATACCATGACCCTAGAATAAATCTATCAGTCTGCGTCATACGCGTCACCATGAATTAATAAACGACGAACCTAAGATAAAATGCGTTGATGCAAATACTGGTGATTCCAACATTCCTACAAGGAAGCGGAGGGCGTAGAGTTGATGCACATTGGTAACTCGACTCTGAGCAAAAGTCACAATCCCCCAAAGCACCTCAAGAGTAGGGAGGAGCCATCGTGCCCTGGTTGTCTGTCAACATTCTGATTGGATTTCTGTGCACAATGGACTTACAGCCTTGGTCGCGATATCAATAGCATCCCGGGAATCTGAAACACGACATATGCCGTATAATAGCAAACATTGAAGTAATTCAACTCATTGCCAAAGAGGCCAAAGTCTTCCTTCAATCCGCTGACGTAAGCATTGTTGATGTTTGTCTGATCTAACTTGGTTAGTATTCTTTTAAAGGCTGGAATGCGATGTAGATACCCAAAAACTTGACGAAAACTACCTCTGTTAGTACTGGCCGAGTGTAGACCTTGATGCGAGATGACTTACAGCAGAGGCATGCAAAGACAAGTATTGAAAGGTCTAGCTTGAACAGTAGTCTGGAGGTCCATTAGTCCAAGACCGCCTAACTTGGAAAATTTCATGACTCACTTTCTTTCCTCTGCTGGATAACTTGACGGGTACCAGTTGAATATTTCCTTGAATAATTCCTGAACGGTTAACCGCCTATTTTTGGTGTTGATATCAGACATCTTTTGAAATAAGATCGAAATATTTGTCTTGTAGTGATGGCACAAAAAAGACATAGACTTCAAGGGAACTTGAAATTTTTCTACTGGTAAGTGTTGAGCGAAGAGATCAAGCAGGAAATCGATTCGATAATTTTGGACAGAAGTTAGATTTGTCCACCATCGCTCCACACATTTCCGTCATCTTAAACGAAGCATAGGGAACGGGCCCTTGGATCGATGGGAGCGCTTTCATAGGCCGGCTTCCAGGGGGCTTGCGTTGACTGGGTCGGGTCTTTGATGGCTCTGGGCATTGCTTTACATGTTGTGGGTGAGGATAACGCAGGTCATGAAAAGCACCCCAGGCATTGCGTGCTATCCCCTGTTGTCCGTGGCAGGCATAGACGTGACAGAATACATTATCTAAAAGGAGATGAAAACTGCAACTCGGCATTTCTCAATAGCTTATGATGCCGTGACCAATCCCATAACTAGAATCTGTTCACAATCGGGGACCTCGGACGTCGGAGGTGGATGAGGGCTGAAGCTGCCGAAATTGCGTGCTCGGCTCCGCATCTTATCAGCCAAGCCGGAGCCAACGATTCACACCCCACGCATTAGCGACGACGGGTCAGCCGCTCAAAAGGCTTCGTGCGTGTCGATGTTGTAGGTCCAGATGCTCTTATAATTGGTTAGAATTTGGGGTTAAGGTACATGCCCCGATCGGTCGTGGGAGGTTTCTCCAACTGACCATCAAGTGCTCCGCACGCTTGCAAATGATGAATGGCGTGCTTGCTCCTCACTGCAGTACTTCAGGGCTTCGACGAACTTCTGTCTCAATATGAGGGGTTGTCGTGGACAGACCTCCGCTGCAGCGTGTATAGCTACCCGTATATTGCACATTGTCAATATAAGAAAAACATAATGCCAGGAATACTTATCGATCGTAATGAGCAGGTTCCTGTGACCCAGAAAGACCGTAAGGCTTTATATTATCTATTATGCTGTGGGAGCAAGCTAACAAAAGCAAGTGGATTGGGCCGAGTTGGTGACACTAGATCTTGGGCTCTACGAGAAGCCTGGCGGTAAAGACCAGCTGGTTAAACAACTTGATCATGCTGTACGCCATATTGGTCAGGATCCACGCAAGTGCACGATTCAATCAGTTCTCTGACTGCTTTTCAAGGTTTTTTCTACGTGAAAAACTTCAACATCAGTCAAGAAGAAGTCGACCGTCAATTTGCACTCGGGCGCGAATTTTACTCCCTACCCTTGGAAGAAAAGCTCAAATATCACAGTCGAGCCGATTTGGATAGGGGTGAGTACAACGGGTACCGACCTGCTGGACATCGCAAGTAAGCGCTCGCAAGTCACAACTTGATAGAACCGAGAAAGTTTTCGTTAACTAGCTTGCAAAAAGTCTTGGAAATGGCATAAAAGATAACGTTCAAGTGTACAACATCCCTAAATTCGACGGCTACCATGAGCGAGAGCAACCTCGAATTCTTGCGGAGCATATCCATGAAATAGAGACATTCAGCCGAGTGAGTTTGTCCCCTACACAAAGCATCAGGTTCTCTCACGTACCACGATTCTAACATTGCGCGAAAGAAATGTCACAATGAAGTCGTGTTGAAGCTCCTCCGTCTATTTGCGATCCTACTTGAGCTTCCCGATGAAGACCAGCTTGTCCGCGATCACCAATATGATGTCAGAGGCGAGGACCATTTGCGATACATGCACTATGCTGCACGTAGTGTTGAGGACAACAAGAGGGTCGGAGACTTGTATGCACCAGGCCATACAGATTTAGGCACAGTGACTCTCCTTTTTCGCCAACCTGTTGCTGCCCTCCAAATCTTGAATTCCCAAGGCGAGTGGAAGTGGGTAAAACCTCAAGATGGCACCATTACAATCAACACTTGCGATGCTCTCACCGCTTTGACTGGTGGGCTTATCAAATCTAGCATCCATCGTGTACACGCCCCACCCAGTGATCAGGCACATATTGACAGGCTGGGCGTGTTGTATTTTGCTCGGTAAGGCATCAACCAAATCCTGTCTAGTTTCGCGGCTACTCTAAGCTAACAACTATACAGACCAAACAACCATGTAGTTCTGGACCCTATAGGGAATAGCCCATTGCTCAAGAGATTGGGGTTGACATCAAATGTCTTTACAGAACTTGGTCAACATTTAAGCACGGAGGAGTGGGTGAAGGTCAGGCAAACTCAGCAACAGCGTAAGACTAGAGAAGCCAAGATATCGCAAGATGGAAAGTATGAGTACGAGGAGAAGGACTTGGAGATTCTTCCAGGCTTGCATGCGAAGATCCATAATTAGGACCTTCAGGCCACAAATGCCATTTGCGAATCGCAGATAAAAATCATCTTTCTTAGAATTTTTGTATTACTTGCTCCAGAACCTTCACTCATTGCATAATTTGCGCAATTGACCCGACTACGTTTCATCAAGGAAAGAGAGGTGCTAATTGTCTATCGCTTCTCTCTTGGGCTTTAGCAGATCCACTCACTGGCAACGAGCATTGAGCACGCAATTTTACTAGGGTATCAGCTAGACAATAATGAAGTTGGTGAATTCTTCATCTAAGCTCGTACTATAGAGATCACGACAGCTAAATAATTTCGAGATTCGCCATAGGATTATTGGTCAAGTCGACGAAACATTGATGCGGGGTCAAGACGCATTTCGGCTGTTACAAATAACACTGGTTGAATTATGTGAGCTCAACATTGTTTCTTACTTAAGCTAGAGTCCCAGGAGCACTTTAGCGCGGCTTGTGATGCCGTGCCTGACAGACGTGTATTAAGCCTGAAGCACGCAATCCTGTCTTTGTACCTGAATGTGCTGCGACTTCGGTCCACCATATAAAAGCTATTCGAACAAGAATTTGAGTCTTTCTTCAAGTTGTCATTCTCTCTACCTTCCCATTTCTCGACCTAAATTTCATCACCCAGTTCGGATTCATATCGGCATTCCTTCACAATGGCCACTGTTAATATTTACGATGTGGTGATCCCTACTTTCGAGAAGGGCTTGAAGACGTTCGACCACATCCTTAATAAGGCAGAAGCGTTTGCCAAAGAGAAAGGCTTGGATGCAAATGCCACGTTCCCTCAGGCTCGTTTGATTGATGATCAGAACCCTCTTACGTTCCAAGTTCAAAATGCTACCAAGACAGTGGTGGTTACAATTGGCCGATTGACTGGCACTGAACTCCAGCCTTTTGAAAACAAAGAACAGACGCTGGAGGATCTTCATAAACGAATCAAGGATACCCTAGGACTACTCAAAGCTGTTGATCCTAACACAGTTAACGCCAAAGCCAATGATCAAGTCACCATGTGAGTGTTTTAGGTCCGGAGGAATGAGAGCTTTCTAACAGATGTATCAGACCCTTTGGGGGAAAAGAATTACCATTCTCCGGGAAGGATGCAGCAATAAGCCAGGGTATCCCCAACTTTTTATTCCATCTCAACACGGGTTATTCAATTCTCAGAGCCAAAGGCGTCCCTGTCGGCAAGTCAGATTACATCGGTAGCTTCTTGGGCGTCTGAAGAGACGTATCTCCATACTACTACAATTTTAGCTTGGCCCAACTTGATAGCAGAATTGAGACAAAACAAATCTTCTCCATGATAGGCAAATTCAGTGTTTAAGGCAGACTCTGTTATCTAAAATGCTTCAATCACAAAGAGCGACTTGCTTAATTCTAATTTTACAGTTGCATGAGCATAACCATCCCCAATGGCAGTCCTTAGGATGAGCATCGAGGCGCACGACTAAGGCTTGTAATAATAGATTCTATTTGAAAATTCTTTGGGTTATCAATCTCAGTACTTAATGTATCTCACATTACAAGGCAGCATTGTACTCTCACAGCTTAGCTTTCAAGTGAGCTTGTCCCTCTTCCGCCTTCTTTCGCTTTCGCTGAAACCCTCCGATCTTAGTGGCTACCATTCCAGTCCATATCTCCAACCACTTACTATCAAATGGCGGAAGCACTCGGCCAGTGGTGCCCGGGGCTGGATCTCCTGCAATATTTCGAAGCAGTTCGAAAAACTTCCCGTAGTCGGGCGCGATTGAGTAGTAATCCTTGCCGCCTTTTCGCTCTGCCACACGCTGTCGTTCCCATCTACAAAAGTGTATTAGTGCCTGTTATATCGAGAGACGATAGAAGACATAAACGTACTCG